CCCCAGCGCCGTCCGCGGGTGGTCGCCGCCTGCTGGTCAGCGCTCGCCGCCCCCGGCCGCCCACCGCGCTGCGGCCGCTTCCGGGAGTGCCGCTTCCGGGGGCACGCCGCCTTCCTGGCGTTGTTAGTCTGCGCTTCGGGAAGGTGAAAAACGTAGCTCTTTCTTTCATATGTCCATCAGTTGTAAGGCCAGAAGGGGCCTCGGAAGATCGTCGAGTCCAGCCCCAAATATATAGTTATTATATGTATTTATAAAAGAAAGAGCTAAGTTTTTCACGTTCCTGAAGCGTGGGCTTTAAAAACGAAGCCAAAAAACAGAGTTGGCAATACTGTAATGCTTTATGATTATCATTCTCTCTGGCAAAGGGGGGCCTGAAACTAAAAGTGCACCTGAGGCCGCCAGGAGTCTAGGTATGGTGCTGGATGTTACCCCAGACCAGGGCAGGCCCACAATTTTTTGGGGCCCCCTGCCCCGAAGAAGCTGGCAGTTGGGAGGGGGGTGGCAAGCAGCCGAAGAAGCCAGGGGGAGCAGCGTCAGCAGCAGGGGTGGCGGCGAGCAGCTGGATGCACTTAGCTGCGGGACCCACTGCAGCCGCAGGGTTGTGGTACAGGACAGGCCGGCCCTGCCCCAGACTGGTACAGCCTGGGGCAGGGGTTTGCTTTCCTCTGTGCCTAGCTCTTTACCTGGCATCGCTGACACCTTTGATAAGGTGTCCTTGGGTAAAACCGATATCTTGTATTAGGCCAACTCAAATAGAAGCAGGAAGTCGGCTGCCATGCTTCCCCTGCTTCAGCCAGGCAGGTGAGGGTACTAGGTCTGTGTTGTCAGGGCTGACTGCAGTCCTGTGCAGCATTTTAGGTTCTGGTTTGCATGGGGATGGTCCTACCTCAGGCAGGGGTTGGACATTTCACAACCCATGGGTCATGACCCAAAAGCAGGGTGCAAGAATATATGAAAGCGTGGCAAACAACTTTTAAAAACAGATCAACACACTTTAAAAATAGATTCGCCTTTAAAGGAGAAAATTGTGGGAAACCATTGCATCTTCCCTTGCAGGCTGGCAGAGGTCCAGCCTGTCAGGGGCTGCTTGGGGCTCCCCCTGCCCCTACACACACTGTGGGGGGCTGGGGCCCAGGAGTGAGGGGCACTGGGTCAGGACTGGCCATCGATGTTTACAAATGGGTCCTGGTACAAAAAAGGTTGAGAACCACTGGGCTAGATGACCTCTGAAGGTCCCTTCCAGCCCAACTTCTCTATGACAGGCAGGGGAAGGAGAGCAGGACAGGCTGTATGTGAGGAGCAGCTCTTCAGTTATCTTTGTGTTAAGAGATGGGACTGCTCTGGGGTGATCAACCTGGCCCGCAAGAGAACCTTCTCTCTTGTGGGGGATGCATGATGTCTTAGCAGGCTCACGTATCACACACCACCCCTCTGCCAGGTACAAACAGGACGACTGTGTCGCCAGGCCTACGCAGCTAGCAACTAACAGAGATCTGCCTTTGCCCTAACAATAATGGCAAATAATTATCAAGTGGGAGGCCCCGGTGACATTTATACACATTCTGCCTGATTCTAGGTTTGTCATGTTGTAATAATTTTAGCTAGATTAATACACCGCCTCAGGTAAGCAGTTATCTGTATGCACGCATGTAGAATTACAGGCCAAGTAGTTTACAATTCAGATTTAGAAATGGCAGAAACAATGATGCTGGAGGAGGTTGGGGCAAGCGAGAGCCAGGACTAGAAACAGATGATAAAAGTGATCTTGGTCTTTTTTGCACAGTCTGATAGTGCAAATTGTTTGCTAAACTAAAGTTCTCCTTGTAATGAAGAGAGTAGGAGAGGGAGCTAATAGTGAGTAGAGGGGAAAGTAAGGGGGAAAACTAGGTTATTTGATGAGAAATGTAAAGGGGGTTGGCGTATAGTGAGGAGGCAGACAGTTGAAGGAGAGTACAAAAGAGAGCATGGCCAAAGAGTTGGTGGGGTCAGTTAATACGGTCAGTGAGTAGGATAGGTGGGAGGACTGTGTAAGACAGTGGGCCTCAACCTTGTTAGATTCAAGTCATCCCTTGTTAGACTTAAGACACCCCTCAGAAAATGCCAGCTCTTAGTTTTCACTTCTGTTTTGACTATAGAAAAACACTAGAGCAATTCTTCTATTGTAAAGAACTCAGAAAGCGCACAACAGGTCTGACTGGTTTTAACGCTGTCAATCCCTGGCTTTGTTATGTGAATCGTGTTTGCACACCTAACAGTGCTAACATTGCATGGCACCCCACAGCACCCTTAAAAGGATCATAAAGTACACCGGGAGGCCACAGAAAATTACAGCTTTAACTTCTCTTCCCAACTATGCAGTTGGTCAAGTAAAAAATACCACCAACCCCACCCCGCTGCTGGTCAGTAAACAAGCAGTCAAGAAATGAGTGGTTAGTAGTGATCAGCTGAAGGAATCAACAAACAGTATACCAACTGATGGTGGCAATCCACAAATGATTGGATGCATTGGAAATGAGGTCTGTTTTTGTATTGTGAAGGCAGGGGGCCGTTTGGTGTCTGTTGGCTAGATTTTCCATTTCCAGACAACTCAGGTCCTAGAGGTTCCTGTTGATATCAATGAGATCTGCTTGCTGCAGGTGTGCACTTTGGAAAGAATAGCCTCATTTGGCGCAATGGTAAAATCCCATTTTGCAGGCCAGAATTCTTTCCTGATGTATTGGCATCTGTGACTCATAATTTAAGCTTAGAGTGGGGATGATGCTGAGGCTAAGAAGTATAGTTGATGTTCTTGTTGAAATCTTAACCAAATAGTTCCAGCATAACTTTTCTGCAAAGTAATAATTCTGTATGGTTGTGAATTTTCTCCTGTATAAAAAATACTGACATTTCTGAAGTACTTTTATAAATTCTTCCTAGCACTATTTATAGTATTGTAAAGAAAGGAAGGTAAGCATATTACCCTTTTTAAGGGAAGTATGTTGCCTAAAACGAATAATTGTATGTATCTAGCATCTTTATCCAAGTGTTTCAGGGAACTAAATAAAAATAACTTCCTGAAGGCCAAACAGTAAATTAGCAGCAAAATTTGGAAGAGAATACAGGTTTCACTGTTCTTGTTTTCCTACTCTAATTTTTCCTTATCCATGGCCACATATGTACATGCTGAAAAATCCTTGATATATGGGTCATAAAACAGTCAGAGAGTTGGGAATTTTGATTAATACAGGATGAGAAGAGCTCAACAGTCCATTCCTCACTTTGGCACATGTAACAATAGAAGTGCCTTCCCAAATCATAGTGTGCAAGTAAAACAGGACCATTACTTTCAAGGATCTCTCTCGGGTATTTCAGAGACAGAGATCTTAATTGTCTTTGCAGCAGTGATAGCTTCTTCTGGGATCATCAGGATAATTACTAGAATCATCAAGCAGTGACCCCAGTGTCTCCAGTTTGGGAGAACTTCCTCCTCCCCCACAGCAACCAGTACAGCAACATAATGGGATATTCTTCCTGTTTCCTTCCAGACAAAAACAGAACAGACACCAGAGATGATCTTCCTTACAAGTGTTTACAGACAGTTCCTCGGTTTTTAGATGTCCCTAGAACATTGTGCAGCAGAAGTATCAAATCATGCAAGATACAGAAATGCAAAGCCTTTCATATTTTCTCCTTTACATCTGGCCTCAAATGCCTCCACATTTCTCAGAATCATGGCTACCTGTTTATCTTTCCAAACTGCTGCAGTCTCTAGTCAGATAAACCTCAACAAAAATTCCTCCCATTTACAAAGTTATTTGCTCATGATGAGTTGTGCAGTTTTGAAAGCTGTTGGGATTAAATGAAGTATCTCATTCTGATACTGACCTAGGAGGCAGGACACTTAGGCCTACTGATTTCAGACCAAATGTACTGTACCCCCAAACAATCTTGTTCTGTTCCAGGGGTTGGCAATGTTTTTGGCTGGAAACACAAAAAACACTCCAACCTCGACCCATGCCTCAACATGGCATACTGGGGCAGATGGCAGGGGAGCTGCGAGGGGCTTGATCCATGCTGCCCCAGCCCCTTCCCTGGCATGCACCCTGAGGTGTGTGTGCAGCCGGTAGCAACCACAGTCTGGGCTACTCGCAGTAGGTGGTGGGCTGCAAATAGCTGCACCAGGGTCCAGGGCCCTGAGCGGGGGCTCCACAGACCTGGGTACAGCAGATTGCAGCCTCCCAGCTGCTTGACACAACTGGCCCGGGTTTTGGGTAGCTGCTGCCTGCCGCAGAGCCCAGGCTGCTCGCAGCAGGTGGTGGGGAGGCTGCAAACCATTGCACTGAGGTCTGTGGAGCCGTGGCCCAGCTTGTTGCTGGCGGTGGGTGCACGTATGCCTCTGGGTGGACAGTGGAGGAGGGGCCAGGGTTGTGCTGCCCCAGGCCCATTCCCCTCTGTGTCCCCCGAGGTGTGCATGCAGCTGCCATCATGGAGCCGGTGCCAGAGCCCTGTACAGCTGTTTGCTGTAAGTAGCCTGGGCTCTGTGGCCTGTGGCAGCTGCCCAGAGCCTGGGCTAGCTATGGCGTGCCGAGCAAAATGGCCTCATATACCATGCTCTGGCATGTGCTGGGGGTTGCTTACTCCTGTTTTATTAGGTCATTTAATCAGATATGTAGGTGGTGTTAACAAGATCACAACAATGACACAAACATTGCAGTTTCAGAGTTGTTTAGCTTTCTGTGGTAAAGAAATGACAGCTGTCTTAAATTCAGAATGATAAAATCCTTTGGTATTGTATATTGATGTCTTCTCTGAGCAGCTTGCTGGCTGAGCTCCTCAGGACTTTCTCCATAAGTCAAGAAGACACCAACCAGCATCTTATTGACAGAGAAAATCTCTTTGAGGAAAGCACACAATGGAAGCAATTGTTTCCTAAGTAGAGCAGATCAGATTTGTGTGTGTGCGTTTGCTTTATCTGCCATTTACTGGTCCAAG